CAGTATTTTGATCTTCAGTTCCTGAAGTGAGAGACCCATTAGGAGTGAGCGGGTTTCTGTGGTATGTTGCATCATCACCTTTCCTAGAAATCAACTCCTGGGATGCGAAAAGAGAACTGATTATGGATTGGAATTCTTCAGGAACATCCATCTCATCCCATGTTTCTTGATCAAGGACAGCTTTTAGTTTCGTCATCTACAGCACAGCAAGATAAAACTTAGAATAACGACCGGAAACACTTGATAATGAAAGAAGTTAGATGGTAAAATAATTACGGAAAATACATCTATGGGATAAAGTCAATATAGCTCAACTCTACTCTGTTATCAAATGTAAGTTTAACCTTTCTGCTGCACAAAGTATAGAGATGGCTTTGGGCATATTGCTCTTAGTACATTTGCTATTTTCTCCCACTTTTTTAACTTTTTTGTAAGCCATGAAAGTAAACAAAGATGTAGATGTCCTTTCTGTAAAAAGGTATATATACAGAGACTAACCCGAGCTTCATGCTGGGAATCTACAAAGGCTTTGGCTTGTGATTGCAGCGTTCCACGAATACTAGATCCCAACCGTCCGCCAATCTGATAATTTCCATAAAAATGTCACGCATGAATAAGCAGTACAATTTCTTCTCTCTTTTATGAAGAAGTTTTGAACAAGTACCTTTTCCGTAGCTGTTATAAATTCTTGGGTGAGATCATAAATGCTCATGAACTCCTGCAATTTCAATTTTGGATGAAGAAGAGCACGGACTCCTAGTAACTTTGCCCATCTAGCATGAGTAACCTCACAAGCCGCAAAGACAGCTTCTGTGTTTTCTCTCAAGACATCGGCCCTATATAAATAAGCAAAATAAATAGTCTAATTCGGTTTCAAGCATAACAAAGGCTTGGGTTACAGGCAACTACGACAGCTTGGAATACATAACTAACTAAATAAATAAACTACAAAACCTGAAGTTTCTTGACATGTTTATCAAGCTTGATGCGTCGCTTGATTTTCTTTGCAATGGAGAGGCCTTTGAAGTAGCCCTTCCCATTGGAGATGACATTAATGACTCGCTTTGGAAACCTGTTTCCTGGTTTGATTCGGCTGCTACAGCACCAACGGCAATTGCAGCTGCCACGGAATCAGCTGCATAATGTCCATCGATATTGCAGAGGATCCATTCGATTGCCTTTTTCACTTCCGAAGCCCGGACAAGATGTGCCTGCATTCACTAAATGACATGAAATCATTTTACATCTTAACCAATCATCGAATTGCTTCAGAGGGTGAAATGTTCCACGCCTCAATACGGTAGATGTATCAAAACCAAAATAAAGATGCTGCCAAAGGGGTAACATAAATAGACATATATGTAGTAGTTCCTATAATGCTTGTTTAAATAATTAAAATTTAATAATAGATGCATATATTACCTGAACAATCCTAAATATAGCAGTTAAGAGATTAACAAATGCCTCAGATGACAGAGCCCTCAACTTGCTCGCGAGAGATAATCCACCACCTGTATACGCACTACGAATAAGAATGGATTCTGGAGAGACAAACTACAACCGAAGTAGAATATATTATCCTAAGAGAAGGATATAAATATACTACTCCTAATAATAAAATTGCAGCCAACATTCTTCATCAGTTGACTAATTTCCATGTATATTACCTCCCAGCCAGGTCTCAGATATTACTAAGGTGGAGAACAAGAAACAAGCATATGTAAATATACAGTATTTTTCAAGTACTAAACTTTATGTTCAACTATGTATCATGCATAAACTAAGTCACATGACAGTCTTAATACATACAGTATTAGTAATAATTATAATCTCACCATCAACATCTGAGCGCTCCCCATGTGAAAAATCAGATTCGAGCGATCTTGCAACAAGAATTGGAAGCAGCTCAGCAACTGCGTTCTTGATTGCATTTTTCATTTCAGATGTTAGTGCCTCACGATACATCCTCAAAATTGATGGAAACTTTGCCTAAGATAAATAGTTAAAAGAAAAACAAATGAGAAGCTCAATTCAGACTAAACCATTAATACGAACTAACAATAATGACCAGAGACAGCACTAACGAAAAAATTAAAACAAACCATTGTCAACCTCAGGGTTAGCATGTGTTTAAAAAAATAAAGGAACGGCCACTCACCGTTCTTAGCAATCCAATTACTAGAGGAAGAAGCCTATCACATAAGGTAGACGTGTCTTCTTCTTCTAGCTTAACCTGCAAAGGTGGAAGATTAATCTAAGAGTCATGCTGGATAATGTTCCACTTATTTTATGATTAGTCTACCGCTTCTCACAGGTAAAGATATATTCAGTTTTACACCCACAATTAAGCTCCACATAGTACAAATAAGCTCCCAAATTCATTAAAAAGATATGCATCTGTATCGGATGAGACTTACTTCATCACCGGTCTCCCCGTTAGAAGATATGGATCCACTTTTTTTTGCAGCAGATAAGATCAGTATATCTATTTCCCCAGTATTGTGTATTGAGATACGCATAAACTCAGCGGTGAGAATACTACAAAGAAAAAATCAACAAGCCATGAGACATTAGACCAAATAAACAAATAAAAGAGTAATAGAGTAACAGGATAGGTAAATATAGAAGGTGAACTAAGACAGTGAACCACTAAAGCTTCACAAAACAACTCTACTAAAGAAAATCAATATACTAACATTTAAGTTACACAAGTGCCTAAAAGCCTGAGTGCATTCATAATAATCAGACGGAAAAATGTCTACCACTTGAAATGATTGATTTAAACAACAGTGACCTTTGCCGATTACAGAGATACTATTAGCTATAAAATAAACCATAGCTGCCAAAGAATTTCATGAAAGGAAAAAACAGAGCTGCAACACTCTGTAAGCATTTTTCAAAATATCAACTGCCTTCGCTATCTGCAAAAATCCAAGAGGCTCAAAAACAAAACTAAAAACACAATCACTACATCAGAATTAGTTGGCTGGTTTGGTAAGGTACTTGGCACAATTAATATGAAATCCGACTGGGTCTCATTGCGTTCCGTTCTATCCACGAATTTAAGAAACACGTTACCGCCGTTAAAACAAAAGCTCAAACAATTTAAACGCTTCTCCTAAACGCAGCCTATATTAGTCAGTTATCATACCCTAGAACGAGACGCACCTGTTAATGGATTCTATGGAAGTAGTAACATGATCTCGAAGATGACGGAAGCAATGTAGACCAGTTAGCTCATCCCCAGCCTAAAAAGGATAAAAAAACAATTTTAGCTTCGTACGAAAGATCACCCTAACCATCTAACAGTACCCCACGATTACTTACCAACAAGTTCTGGAGATCGTCAGTTATATCCAAAGCTCCAGCACAATCTGCGGACGCAACAAGCTGAACAATAAAGAATCAAACTTCCATCAGGAAAAAAAAAACACACAAAAGCAGCTAACTTGACACTACTTTAACTGAGTCAGTCAGAAAACAACTGAGCAATCTGCAGACGCAACAAGCTGAACAATAAAGAATCAAACTTATATCAAGAAAAAGAGGAAAGTAACTAACTTTCAGTAAGCAAAAAACATACCAATTTGAGTGCAGAGAGAGCTTGATTAACATACAAAATAACCCTCAATTTCCGCTGCAACTCCAACATATTAATCCTAGTCGAACTCAACTCCTGAATCTGCCTAGCAGAATCCACCAAATTCCTATCCAAAACCCGAATCGTCTCTTTCAACTCCCGGATCCTACTACACCCTTCAACAATCTTCCCATTCAAATCCTGCAACTGCCCCTGCGCCTCGAAGAACGAATCCGACCTCACCGAGATCTCCTTCACAAGATGCATCTCCACCACATCAAGATACTGCGACAGCTTCTCCTGAAGCGCAAGATTCTCACTCAAACTCGAGAAAGGACACGCCGACCGAAACGTAGCCCCATCCTCCAACGCGAAATCCTCCTTGAAGTAAAGCGAAGGGACCTCACGGAGACACGAAGCCAAGCCCGACACGTGGCTCTCCTGATCGACGAATCCAGAGCTCTCCTCCCTGGCGTGGTTGATGATATCCTCGAAGCGGGTGTGAGAGTCGGAGATGGAGGAGACGTAAGGGCTGAAGTCGGATCTGGTGAGGTCGGAGCCGGGGAGCTTCGCGGAAGCGACGGGGAGGAACTCGGAGGGAGCGACGGAGGTAGAGGAGGAGGAGGAGGAGGACCACCAGCCGACGATCCAGGAGGAATCGGAGGAGTAGACGCCGGATTTGCCGCCGTGGGGGTTGTTGAGGATGGAGGAGAGGCTTTGGCTGCTTGCGTCGGAGATGGATTTGGTTAGGGGGGAGGGGGAAGGGGAGGATGGTGTTGAACGGCCGAGATCTACGCTGGATCGGGCGCTGTTGGCGATGATGGACCTTCCGGTTAAGGAAGGATGCGGATCCATTAGGTCTGGAGGGGAATCTCTAAATCATGAAAATTGAATATTCGAAATTGGATTAGAGATCGAATCGGAAGTGGTGAGAATGGTGGAGAGTTTTGGATCTGGAGAGAAGCAATGTGGAGGAGTGAGGAAGCTCTCTGGGTGGAGACTCGGTGAGATTGTTGGAGAGGTGGTGGTGGTGAGCAATGGGTTCACTGCGAAGATTTAATCGACGGCGGATTAGACATCCACGTCATTTACAAGATACTTTATTATAAATAGTTAAGTAATTGGGATTATGATTCCGATTATGTGCATTATATTTGTAATTTGTTTCACTTTAATGACTCAAGATATACTTTTCATTAGGATATTTGTTGACTGTTTCTGTTTTGTAAATCTCAATGTATGGTATAAGACTGGTTCTTCATTATTAATCAACAAATCTTGACAAGAGCTTTGATCTTTTTCCTTGTTCTGTATCAATGGTGGTCTCTTCTCTCCAGTAGATTATTTTATCTCAATACGGTGCTTCCACGTTACTCTAATTATCCCATCGACAAAACTGAACTCCGGTAGGTAGTTATTCCTAACCAAGATGAACCTGCGAAATGAAGCAAGCTTGAGATCACCATTCATATAATGGTGATGTAACTACTACTATCTGTAAAATCATTAGTCAAGAAGGAAGAAGAAGAAAGTGGTGAAAATACTTATTGATACAAAACAGCATTAAATCAATTTGATTGTCTTCTAAAAAAATAACTATCAGAAGCTTACGTACTTGTATGCATCGCATTTTCGCGTATATCTAGTTTATATTTATATAAATACTGTGTATACAACTTTACACCTATAACCAGAGTTTTATTTGTAGTATAAGTACAAACCAACTCAGGTAAGATTAAATTTACCTCTACTATACAAATAATGCTCGAGAGTTGAGATCAATGAAGACTTTAGACTTATACCAATCACCAAAGCTTCACAACTCTTTTTGAGACAAGGCTTACTCTTCTTCCTGCTCTGTATCAATGGTGTCTTTACCTGAGGTTGCTTGTCTTGCCTCAGACATAGAGAGTCTCTTGGGTTTCTCAGTTGATGTTTCCACGCGCTTATCTGATGGCTTACCATATGAAGAAGTCCTTGCATATCCAAAATCTCGGAAGGGATGGAAGATGCGGTCTCGTGTGTTAACACCCATGGCGGATGATCAAAAGAGCAACTAGTACCCACTGCACAGTTTCCAGTGCGAACATACGATCTGCACAGACGTTTTACCTGTGAAAATAGTTGGAAAGAAATCACTCACATACGGAACCTGAGATAAGAACATACATCAGGTTCAATTTCTTTGGACCAGTTCCTTGGACAAGTTTAAATGTATGATGAGGTTGAAGGAAGCAAAATTAACTACTAGCTTTTACCGGTCACAAGATGAGGCCATGAGGCTCAATGAATTCTCAGGGACAGGGGGTTTACCTTGGAAATTTTTTTGACTGTAGGGACGCTCATTTCTCGCTTCCTTTTTCTTAAGCTTAGAATAACAATTTCAATAACACCTTTCAATCGACATCTCTTATACGGTGGTGCCACATGGTCCATGCTAGAAATCCCCTCTGGATCCATGGAAGAAGAAGGACGTTTTGCGCTAAGAGCTGTATCACATGTCGCATCTGTGATTAAATAGACTCCACATCTCTTCACTGAGCAGCTATCACTTAGAAGCTGGTTCTCACAATTGACAGGATGGAATTCAAAAGTAACTGAATCAGACAGGAAATCATGGTTAATGGCTTCAGCATTATGCATTTTCACACTCCCAAAAACAAACATATGATCCCTTTGAACGGTGGTGGGTTCCTTTGGAGCCCAACAATGGAAAATCCTCTCTAATCTAGGGGAGAGGTTGCCGCTCTTCCTGCATAAACACTTTATGGCGAAACCAGTAGTGTTGCTATAATTTTCCCAAAATTCAACCACTACTGATAAAGCAAAGCCTGAGAGTGTCTTTAACATGCCAGGAGGTAGCTGTATCCTTACAGAAGAACCAGCTTGAAGATTAACCGAGGATTGGTGGCCTGCAGAGGCAGGTATACAGATGCTGAATGCAGGAGCGTTGATGTGTTCCTGTTCCGGTGAAGCCTAAAAATATCATATATGGCGAAATATGAGTCTAGTAATGCATGTGAGAGAAAAAGATACAAAAAAGAGGCAGAAAGAGACAGAAATAGAGAGGATACCTGCAGAAGCCCCTTGGCCATGCTTTCAACACTATCAAGAGCTTTTCCTATATATTTTTTTACCACTTTTGGGGACAGATTAAAGCAATTACTGAACGTGTAGTGCCTTGGGAACTGCTCGAAACTTGATGGAAATGATTTGAGAGACACACAACCATGGGCGTTCAAGATTACTAGACTTCTAGGAAGCTCAGGTAATGATTTGAGGTTTTTGCAATGGCGCAATCTAAGGCTATGTAGTTTACGAAACTCCTTGATGCTTTTAGGAATCTGGCTGAAAGAGTTTCCACCTAGATCTAGTCTCATCACGGAAGCAAGCCAGCATATATCTTCAGGTATATCCACCAGGTACGCATTACAAAGGAACAACGATCCTAGCGCATATAGTCTTGACGCCAATGAGTGTAAAATGGATGAGGGGAACGGAATAACAGTGACCCGTATCAAGCTTTCTTGTGGTATTTCGTTGTTTGATTGATATTCAAATGCTGGTAAGAAGTCTTCTACAGCTTCTCTGCTGAAATAAGAACCGTGAATATCTGATCTTAGTTGCAAATTAACCAAGTTTAGAAGGGTTTCAGAGCCATCTAACCTTGATTCTTGAGTAGCACAGTGAAGGTTTATGGACACAGATTCTTCCATGTTTATCCTTGTGTTAGGACGTTGTGAATCTTGTAGAAATAATGCATCAAGAACTGGAAGGCTCTTCAGATTTGAACAGCCTGACAGCTTAAGTGTCATCATGGCTTTCAAGTTACTTATCCCCGGTGGCAGGTGCTGAAGACGTTCACAATTCTCCAGATCTAATGTAACAAGTCTAGTGAGATCCCCGACCGACGACGGAATTTCTCTAATAGCAGTCCCAGCTAGATATAGTTCTTTCAGGTTTGATGAGAAATCCTGAAGGTTCTCGAGCTCTGAGCAGCCAGATAGATTAAGAACCTCAAGAGATTTTAGATGAACCGTGGTAGGCATAACTCGCAAACGAGAACAATTTTTCAGACTCAACAAAGTAAGCTTGTGATGATGGAGAATAGATGAGTTAACCTTGACCAGACTCGTACATCCTTCCAGATCAATATGCTCAAGGTTCATGGCCTTTGAAAGCTTTGGGAATTTAGTCAACTGTTGAGAGTGACTCAGAATGATCCTCTTCAGCTTCTCAAGATTCTGATTACAGCACGAAAAAAACAAGATGAGTCATCAAGTAAATGCTAATTACTTCATGTATACAGCAGACTGTACCATAATGTCAAGACATACCTTTGTTCTTTTCCATACTTTTGTCAAGTTGCTATATGGCATGTTCAGTTCTACAAGATTTTTAGGATTGAAGTTCCGAGGTAACGATCCAAGAGGATATCTCTCCCAGTGGAGTAGGCGTAGCTCATCAGGCAAAGAGTGGAGGCCTTCAGGTAGACAAACCTTGCAATGATTTTCAGAAGTTGGACAGTGGAGCTTGAGAAGTCTAAGTCTATACATCCTCTCAAATGCAGTAGAACTTATATCAAATGTCAAGCTAGACGCATCCAGAAATATTCCCTCAATTGCTTCTGTTCCCTGCAAAAAAATGGCCAAGAAGTTCAGAAACATCAGTTTCTTTCTAAGAAAAGAAAGGAACCTCACTCTTAAGTTTAAACAGAACAAATCATTACACTGTTTCTAAGACTTACTGTATTATGTGTCAGGACACCAGCAATGTCACTAGAATCCCACAATCTGCTACGCTTGCCTGCCTCTTCGTGTTCTTGACAAACAACAAATCGACCTGCGTCTTGGAAAATGTTGGGCATTTCTATCTTGTTCTCTACAATGCTGATGAGAGACTCATCAATGAGACCATAGATTCCTAAATCTGTAGAAAAACCGCAACCATCAAGGATGTTCACCACATGATCTTTATCCTCCCCTCTGAAAAAACATGCCAGGTCCAAAAATATGCTCTTCTCGTCATCATCTCGTCCATTAAAACTTATTTTAAATGCATCCAGAATTTTGATTGGAGGATGTTGACGCAATCTTCTCAGATATTGTTTCTCATCGTTAATAAATTGCTTTTGAATAGACAAACCTAAGACTCGCAGAGCCAATGGATTGCCACTAGCGTAGTCCACCAGCTCCGATATCAACGACATTCTTCCTTTCCAATTTTCTTTACTAGCAAACTTGCCACAAAGGTCAAGAGACTCAGGCTTGGATAGCTTCTCAATCTCGTAAATCTCTTTGGCGTTACACTGTACAAGAACTTGCCTATTCCTCGATGTTAAAATGATTGTATGTCCACCAGAAAACCAGCCAAACCCTCCAACCAAAACTTCTGCATCTTTGGTACTACTCACACCATCAAGAACAATCAGAACCTTTTTACCGAGGAACCTATCCCTTGTGAATCTTAGTTTTGCATCACATGCGTCTATGAAAACTTTTTCTGCCCCAAATATTTTCGAGAAGAATTCATCACGCAAATAACTCAGCCCTTTTGTTTGACACATTAGATGAAAGTCAGGCAGAAAGTAGCACACGTCATATCGCTCAGCTTGTGATCTGAAAAACTCTCTCGTGATGGTAGTTTTCCCTATGCCAGCCATACCCCAAAGTCCAACAATCTGTGGGGCTGAGGGTTGAGAAAGATTCAGCAGAGACAATATACTTTTTAATGAAAGCCTCGTTCCTCTTAGCTTCATGTTGGTTTCGGAACTAAGTGGCAAACAGACATCTCTGACAATATTCTTGGCCAGCTTAACCTCATCACTGCACAGAGAAAACATCAGAACAGAGACATTTACCACAACATCCATATATAACATAATGATGGAAGAGCGAAATCATTTACCCCTTTATATACTGATATCCATTGATGGAAGTTAACTCGATCATAGCCTCCCTCCATTTCAGAACTTGGTAAGCATGGACTGAATTCCCAAGTCGTGTGAATGCTTTTCCAAAAGAGCCACTTTGTCCCCTGACGGCTGAAACACTTACTTTAAAAAACACAGGAATAAAGACAAGGTCATTTGCTTTCAAATGGTCCATGATTGCCACAAATCCATCCAGACACTCTCTGGAATGAGCAAAGTTCATCGAGAAAATGACAACACCAGCCCGTGATATGTGTAGCAATTTCTGATTATCAGTCAGAGTGCTCATTTTTATATCATATCTCAAAGGGGCAAAGCCACGGAGACACAACTCGTTGAAGATGTAGCTGATGAAGTATATCTCCTCGGAGTCCTGGTTGTCACCACAATAAATAACTAATACAGGGTCAGACCCCGTAATGCTATGCTCAGACAATTTTGGCTGAAAAGGAGTCTTAACTTCCTTGAGTTTCTCTCTCACTTCAAGCATCTTGTTGGATATACCCGGTGATGTTGCCTTCAGAAGTTCACTTGGAAAAGACTCGTCACTCTTTCTACAGCCAATGAAGAGCTTGCTACTGTCCTTGCGGTCCCTTTGAAAGAAAACAAAATCTCCAGCCTTAAGCTGCTTCTCCTCAACGTAGCTGCTCCAGCCTTTAGTAAATTCATAGCATCCCCTGACGTTAACGTATGAGAACCCGAACAGCCATGTCTTCCCTTCCTCATCCTCTAATCTAAGTAGGCTATCTATGCCTTCAGTAACAGTGGCTAAAAGAAAATATTTACCAGCGTCGTCCTCGTTGACAGTAACGACTAAGCGGTCTACGTTACACACATCAACGGTTGTCAAACATTTCTCAAAGAGATCCTCCCTATCGTCTTCCTGGTAATTAGGATTAAGATTCTTCTCTCCATGTTCTTTCTCACTAGCGTTTTCACTCGCATCGGCCACGTCACCACTACAAATTGCATTAGTGTCAACAACACTAGAGCTTACGTCACTCAAAACACCGGGCTGAAACCTATTAATAGTAGTATCAGAGAAGGAATTGATCTTGCTAGCCTCCCACGCGTCAAAAGAAATCGCCAAATCGTCGGGACCAGAAACCCCAAGGGACCGACAAATCCCATCCAATTCGCCATCGCCTCCTCCGAAGATACGAGAACTAGTGCGATCAGGTAACTCAAGAGAGCGCGTCACAAGAGAAGAAGTCGAGGAGACTGAAAGATCTTCAGCGAACGAACTAGAAGAAGACCCTGCGTCACAGGTTCGTTCTAGACGGCGAATCGACCGTCGATTCGAAGATTTCTTCATACGATCGAGGATTCTATCCATAAATCGCGGCGGGAGTGACGAAATCGAAATCGGGGATGAAGATTTCAAGAAAACTTAGAACGTAATGAAGGAAGAAAACTTTAAGACTTGGGAACTATGTTGAATTGCGAATCATAGTGGATCCAGTTCAAAAAAAGAATCATAGTGGATATGACCCCACTGGGAAGAGACACTGTTCATAGTCTCTTTCTGCTATTTAATTTCCAGCCACTGATTCAGAAAACCTAATCGTTTATGTACTGTACTCTCAGTTTCTAACCATTTTGCTCTCCGTGGATCCTTCCCGTCGGTAAATACGACGTCTGTTTCAGTTTTCGAGGTGCATACACGCGCCATTCTGGTAAGTTAGCAGTGCCTTTGGCTTTACTATGGAGGAAAGTACGATCAGGAAGAGGATAAGCTCACTGTTATGGAGGAGAGAGCAAAGTGGTTAAGAGAGAATGAACGAGTGTGGTAGACTCTTAGCGAGAAAGAGACTTTCATTATCTTCTTTTGTCTGCTCTCTAATAATCGAGTCTTTGTGTTACGATGTCGTATTACTCTTAAACTTGTGTATTTTAAGGAAACCTGATGAGAATGATGATAAAATGCAGGGAATAATCTAAATGATAAAGAGACAGATCTAAAGGAAACGATATGGATGCAGCTATTATGATATGGAAAAGAACTAAGGAAGAAATATCTTTTTGCTAATTAAAAGTGTTCTCTCTTCTTTGTTACATGGAGCCAGCAAAGTCTGATCTCCGGAAAATAACTAATTATAGAAATTTGATTTCATACAAGGGTTGGATTTAAACATAATCATGTTACAAATCTATCTTAGCTCCATCTTTTTAAGTGAACTACAGAGACAGTGTATAGAATTTATGTGGTGTTTCAAGTGGCTAATCTTTAAGCCATTGTCAATGAATCTCTATAGTGCAAGTTTTGTTTCTCGAAAAAGAGTTTCACCAGTACAACAATATCAAATCAGATTTTTTTTTTCTTGGGAAGTATTCTTGAAAATGTAAAAGCTAAAGTTTGACTTGTGATAAGATTCATTGAGCCTTGAAGTAAAGTTCCAATGTAAACTTATTACGAAAATATCTCTTGCATGTTATATACTCCTATTAATAAGGTTCTATCAAACTTGACGTAAAGTTCCGATACAAATGCATTATCAGTTCATTTGCCACCGCGTATGCATTAACTTTATGCATGTTTGATACTATACAACGAAATGTATATTTTAAAAGTTAAGAAAGTCAAATGCATGAGTTGTAAAATACCAACAAATGCGCATTAGAAAAATGGATATATATATCACAATCAAAAAGTCAAAAAGTGGAGGCCAAACACACTAACTAAATAGTTTGCTTGGGACCTTACCAATGTTTTTAGACCATTGACCTATATTACTATATAGTATATTATAGATGTTTAATTCCTCAGTATACCATACTATTATTTATTCTTAATATTTGCATGATAATTAGGAGTGTATTTATTTTAAATATTGGCATGATAATTAGGAGTGTTCACATTGTTTATGTGTAAAAAAGTCACGCAACAAGTCACATGAACATTTCCCATATGTACAACTAAAGTGATTGAAGCCTCAGCCTCACGTTTCTTTTTTGGTCATACTTAGACGTTACCAAACCACTTAAATAAAATGTTATAAAAAAATGAAGTTAACTTTAATGGACCATCTCCTCCACTTTATCATTTTACTTATATTGTAAGTTTATAATTAATTTCTCAGAGATGAGAAATCACAATTTGCCTTTTATCTATCATTTAGTTGAACAAACGGACACAACATCAGATTGTGAAGAAGAACAAAAACATCAAGATCAAACAATGGCTTCACAAACCAAAATCAAGAAACCTACCAACTCTCATTTCAGCCTTTGCACTTTCCTCTTCTTCACCGTCCTCTTCACCATCCCAGCTCTCTTCCTCCTCCGCACATCCTCTTCTTGCTCCTCCACAACAATAGCACTCTCCCCCTCCTCCGACACAAATCAGCCACCCTGGTCTGGTGATCTCCAAACCGCTCAATTTGCATGGAACCGCCTTGCTTTCTCCTTAACCAACCCTCCTCCCAAAACCCTAAAACTCGCAGTTTTCTCAAGAAAATGGCCTACCGGACCCAACCCCGGCGGCATGGAACGCCATGCCTTCACACTCTACACGGCTTTAGCCCGCCGTGGACACCACGTCCACGTCTTCACCTCTCCCTTAGACCCTTCCCCTGAAACCAACAAGATCCCCCCAGCTTCCGACAAAACCCAAAACCCTACAATCCATTCCCACGGCGACGCCGAGCCAGGAAAATGGAGATACAACAAAGCATGGGAGCTTTACCAAGAAGAAAACAAAAGGGAACCCTTTGACGTGGTTCACACGGAAAGTGTAGCTTTACCTCACTGGATCGCCAGAGAGGTTCCAAACCTAGCCGTCTCGTGGCACGGCATCGCACTAGAGAGCTTACAATCAATCATTTACCAAGACCTAATCCGTAAACCAGGAGAACCAAGATCACAAGGCTTCAACGCAAGCCTATACGGTGCCGTGCTTCCCAAGATACTCGACGAAATCAGATTCTTCCACAACTACGCTCATCACATCGCGATCAGCGATAGCTGTGGAGAAATGCTGAGAGACGTTTACCAAATCCCGGAGAAAAGGGTTCATGTGATCCTCAACGGAGTCGACGAAAATGGGTTCAAATCAGACAAGAAGCTACGTTCTCTGTTTAGGTCAAAACTAGGGTTACAAGAAAACTCATCAGCTATTGTCTTAGGAGCTGCAGGGAGATTGGTCAAAGACAAGGGACATCCAATACTCTACGAAGCTTTCGCAAAACTAATCGAAACGCATTCAAATGTTTACCTTGTTGTAGCTGGAAAGGGGCCATGGGAGAATCGTTACAAGGAACTTGGAGAGAAAGTTATTATTTTGGGATCTTTAAATCCAAATGAGCTCAAGGGCTTCTACAATGGAATAGATTTGTTTGTGAATCCTACGCTTAGACCACAAGGTCTTGACTTGACTTTGATGGAAGCGATGTTGAGTGGTAAACCGGTGATGGCGTCTAGATATGCGAGCATAAAGAGGAGTATTGTGGTGAATGATGAGTTTGGGTTTATGTTTGCGCCTAATGTGGAGGCTTTGACGGCGGTTATGGAGGTTGCGGTGGCGGAAGGAGTGGAGAGATTGGCGGAGAGAGGGAGTAAATGTAAAGAATATGCGGCGGAGATGTTTACGGCGAGTAAGATGGCTTTGGCTTATGAGAGGCTGTTTCTTTGCATTAAGGATCAGAGGTTTTGTATTTACCCTTAAATTAGTAAGTATAGTTTTCATTACTCAAGTATCTTTGATTTTTCAACATTTTAATATATACTAATTACTATTTATCTGTAATGATAAGATGAGTCTTTAGTAATGTAATCGCTTACATAAAGTTAAAGGTTACATATATAATTTATTAACTATTTTTTCCTATCAATATTTAATCTAAAAAAAATTAAAAAAATTTGGCAAATCGATGATATCATAGATCACTGTTGAATGAAAACTATGAACACTACGTAGTTGACACTGCCATAGTTTTTTTATTTAAAAAAAAAAAAACTACTATTTGTTTTGGGATTATGTCACTTATGTAGAGCTCTACATTAATTAGTACGCAGTTAGTAAAATCTAAAACATTATTAATGCATCAGCCAAAATCCATAACAGTCCATTAAAACGTCTGTTTTAATGTAGATCCTACATATACTGATATACACAAGCCGTTGGTGATTGAGGCAAGTCTCTATGAATCAATATTCGAACTCATCCGAGCTTGTTCAAACCGTTGATAAGCTCTTCTGGTCCTAACAAACAGAACAAGACTCGAAGCGAGTCCAAGAACCGACAAGCACCCCCACCACACAAAAGTCAAGTAATAGCAACCTCGTCCCATACACACAACAGAGTCGCTCATCGACTTGATCCCAGTCCAACCGTGTGAGTCATAGACCAACGCAGCCAAGAATCCATAGATCAACGATCCTATTGGTATGTTTGTGATCAAGATGTTGTGGTTAACTCCAACACTGTTTGGTCCAAAAAGCTCTGATGTGATGGAAACCGCTGCTGCGAATATGAACCCGGAGCTTAGACCTATCAGCGCTGTTCCCGCTTGTAATGCTGAAGCTGTTCCTGATGATGCTAGCAAGAAAAGAGCTATTGGTGTTGGTAAAAGCGCAATTGCTAACCACCCGGTTCTTGCAAAATAAACCTTCCTACACAACTTAAACCAGATCAAAACCAAACCATAAACTCGATAAATTAATAAACACGATAAATTAATAAATTTCATCCGAGCTGGGCAGCTCGAATGCACTTACGCTCGGATATAGTCCGGTGTTGCGGAAAGTAATCTTCCAAAGAACGAGAAGGCGGAATAAAGTGTGACAAGAGTTGTGGTCTTTGAGCTTTGTCCTAAAGACTGAGCAATCTGTCCAAGGTTGTTGCTATACACAAGACCAATGGTTCCACCACAGAAATAAGCAATATAGTAGAACCAAAAGTCTACTCTGCGTAAGAGCTGCGACAAAGAGTGTTCAGTTCCCAATATCTCAAGCTGACCTCTTGTAATAAGCTTCTTGCAACAAGACTCATCAGTGTCACCTTCCTCTGGAGCTGTAGTCTTAATCAGGTTTTGCACAACGTCGTCGTTTAATAACTGGTAGCTTTCTCTATTGGCTTCATGTGCAGCCATCCCTTTATGCAACTCAAGCTCATCAGGATGAACAAGAATGAAACCCGAACCTTCGAGGCGAAAGCTCGTGTGGATCGTGCGATGATACCAGCTACGTGCGATGACTAAACCGGGGATACATAAAGGTAAGACCAAGAGGATGATTGCTCCACCAAAGAGGAGACGAGCAGAGGTTATATCAGAGGTGTTTGACTCAAATAGGAGGAGATAAACACCGTTTAGAGCAGCGAGGATGTTGAGCAGTAGA